CCTGAATGAACATAAACACCCGTATGTGTATTGCCTGTGTTTTTATGTCGGGAAGACATCCATAATGTGCTTTTCCTGACAGACTCATAAAATAGCTTTTACTGCTCTGAATACCAGGAGAATTGCGGCACTGAGTTTGCATGAACATTTTAAGAGCAGCATGAGGAATGCAAGTTCTTCAGATGTGCTCTTACCTATCTTGCATGTGAAAACATGCACAGGAAGTTAGAAGTCAATGAATACTGTAATTTGACTGAATTATGTTGACCACATATCCTCCCAGGTAGCAACATCAGAGGAAGCAGCTCAATCAGTATTGATCTTGACTTGACTCAGATGACTTTCCCGTCTGTGTACCTGGCAGATAAGTATTGGTGTTGTGTTAAACTTGGTATTTGTGAATTTTGTTGATGTGAAGTTTTGAAGAAAAAAAAAGGTTTCTTCTGTTTTTGGTTTTTTTTTTTGGTTTTGTCTTCTTAAATACTTTTCATTTATAAATGTCACTTTGAGTTCTATCTTCTCAGGCTACACCTGCCTGCAGTGCTGCTGTAATTTTACAGAGCTTAGCCTGATCCCTAATCAAGCCATTGAACACTGCACAACCTCTAGAGACTAATCCTTTTGTTCTGTCAATAAAGGAGCACCTGTTAATGGTCTCTTCATAATGTACACCATTTAAAAAGAAGCAGTAAAACTGAACTGCGAGACAAACCTGACTCCTGAAAGTTGGCCTTTCCAACCTCTTCTTTCTTTTTTTGTGTGTTTTTACTGTCTTGCATGTGGTTTTGTGTGGCGCCACAGTTTCATAAGGGCTGTCTTCACTGAGCCCTGCCCCGACCCATTTTTTTAAAGGCTAATTGTGGAGATTGCCCCATCAGATTTCCCTCCTTTCTTTCACTTTGTGCATTTGTTGCCGGGCTCTAAGCCTTGAATGGGAAGGCAGTAGAGTAGATGCAAATGTTAAATTAGGCGAGATTAATTAAAGCAAATTATTTTAGAATATGCGGTAGTCAGCAGAGAGTGGCAGTTGATGACTAAATAGTGAGTGATCAGCTGCTCTCCTTCCTTGAAAGCTTGTTTGAATTTACTTTTTTATTAACATATATAACAATAGTTTAAACATTGTTAATTACTTAAGACATTAAAAAAATGGGCTTACTTTAGGCATATAGGAACATACATGCATTTTAATGCTTTAATTAAAACCTTCACCAGCCAAGACTGGATGTATCTTTGTAAACTTCTATGCTCTAATTAATATGTGCAAAATTAAGGAACAGTTTCCCTCTGCAACACAGCGCAAAACTGTACATCATGATTGTTTATAATGTATGTATATTCTTGCAGCTAACAAAATGATTACATTGCATTATTTTTTCTGAGTTCATGCAGACACAATAGCAAATTTTCATTCAATCAGTGCTGAACAGGGAGCTGGTAAATTGGAGCAGCAAAACAATAATTCCACTGATTAGCCCCTTTCTGTGTGGCGTAAGTGAACTGTTTATACTGTGGAGTACCTCTGCAAGAGGAGAGGAACCAAAACAGCCTGATTAGGCAAAGAGTAATTGAATAAGTTCATTTCACCATGAGGACAACGCACAGGATGACAGCTTGCACAAAAGTCTACAGCTTCTGTTGACTTGCATGGCTAATAAGATGTAGCTTTTTTGTTGTTGTTGTCTATCATTTTCTTGTAGAGCTTGATTGCAAAAGTTTGCTTTTATGGAAAACCAAGGATTTATGGCTCCTTAACACAGTGAAAGATATAATATTCATGGTGTACAGAGGTTTTGGTAAAAGTCAGCATAAAATGTGAAATAGCTCATTGCTGGTATCAGAGGAACTGGTTCTTATTTGTCAAGTTTATAAAGCAGCATTGTGAGGCTGTACTCTGACATAATGTTGCTCTAAGCTAACAGTCGTAACAGTTGTAATGCTAGTTTGAATGCTAGTTTGAATGCTTTACAGGTATGATGTTTTCAGTGTAGCCTTCTAGTTGTAACAATGTAACCTGTGGGGCAGGAGAGAAGCTCAATTGCCAACTTTCATTTGCTCTCCAAAAAGGTCATTGGAGCATGCAACCTAGCATAAAACCTTCCAATACAAATACTTAACATGCATATAACTTAATTTTCCTCATCATGTTTTACTACGTTTTTCAGAATCGGAATATTTCATCAAAAATAAAATCAGTGTAGAACATTTACTTTAAAAAAAAAAAACTACTGAGCACCATTTTAGCTACTTTTCTATTATTACCTACTCAGATCGACTCGGCACAGTTCGCCAGAGTTTTCAGGTTTTCCATTAGGTAATAGTCACGTACTTTCTGGTACCTGCTCGACCGGGATCCCAAGTGATCCAAGCAGGTGTTAAAATGTGACATGGTCAGACTGCGTGCCACCGATTGGCTAGTCAGTAGCGTCACTCGATGACTCATGAGAGCGTCTCGTTCACAAAAATCAAAACCGACATTTTTGAAACTGGGCAACAAGAGAAATGGCTACAAATAATAAAACCGTGGTCCTGAGTCTGACAAAAGGCTACAGAGCAGCACAGATATATTCTCAACCACTGTTAAAGCGTTCATGTCGCATATTAATTACATTAATATCCGAGTCGATCCGTGGCGAGTCCAAGTAGGTGGGGGTTTTCAAGATGACGTTTGGCCCTATTACCTATAATGACTTATAACATAAAAAGTGGCCGCACAAGAGTTTTAACTCTTAATTGTTTATTAAATATTAGAAAAAAATATTTAGACTGTTGGTGCCACTCCATGCCCTTCCTCTGGACACGCCCATGCGTGGGTGGCAATAACAGATATAATGCATCTATTTACTTGGTGTACTTAACAAAGACATCAATTTGTTTTCATTTTAAAGTTCAAACTAAACAAACTTCTCTTTAGGAGCCTCTCAAGTGATCTACATGCGTCACATATGGTGATGTTTCATTGTAAAGACAGACCTGAAACTCAGGTATGCTGTTGCTCATCACGCCAGTGGTGCATAGCTATGAATCATCCATATTTCCCATATATGTGACTGTTAGAACTTGTTGAGATTTTATCTCAAAGGGCCCTTCCTGTCAACAGTTCTCCACACATTCAGGTGTCAAAATATGAATATTGATTGTTGATAACGTTTGGTAAATATACACATTCCAAACATCACTCACCTGACAGCCACTTCCTTGTTGAATGAGATCCGATTCCTATTATGCTTCAGTGAAACTTCACGAGTTGCTGTTGTTGACTGATATATGACAATGTGTGCAGCTATATTTCAAATCTACAGTGTTTACAAAAATGTCTCATAAAGACGCTCTATCCGTTTGGGTACAATTATTCAAGTAGCCTACAATTTTGAAGCACTTTTCATGTAAGGCTGGCTGTAAAAATACTGAACATATTCATATTATGTAATAACTGATAATTGATTTATTGTTGAATAAAGCAAATATAGATGGCTTGGAGTGAAAAGGAAAACAAAAGAAAGTTGTTTGTGCATGTTGTGGATATTTGACATGGTTTCCATTGTTTGTGTTCAGCACAGCTATAAAGAATTCCAGTAATTATCAGTGAATGGTTGTTAAGGCCTCACACACAGGCCTAGAGAGTTGAGCCTTTGTGACTTCCTGACAATCGCCACTTGAAAAAAAAATAAATTTGCTTACTTGTTTCAAATTGTTAAGTTATGTTGTTGTTGTTTTTATAGTTTGCTGTTTTTTTTGCCTGCAAGAGTAAAATTCTACTTTAAGCATTCATGATAATCTAGCAAGAGCCATATATAAATATGATATGTAATACTATTATATATACATGGACATTTTTCGGGGGGTTTTGTAAAATTGTGACCATTTGATGTCTTACTTTAGAACACAACACTTTTAGTTAAGTAAAATATTAACTGCGGAAGTTTCGTTTGGAACTAAGTCTGTTTTCACGCTGCAGTGTTCCCAGTGCTGTAGAATGATTAATACACCAGTGAGGTGTGTGTCCCCCCCCCCCCCAAACATGCCATGTTGTCAAACAAGCTCTGCACAAACTGTACTTTGTAAAGAAATTGAAGAAATTATTTGCAAGACATTTGGGCGAATTGTCCACTACAGTTGCCAGTGTTAATGTTAAAGGCTTGTCACTCTCATGTGCCAGATG